TTTTTTGTTTCAGTGGTTGGTAAGCTGTCTATCCAAATTGCTGTTGACACCTTACCCACTTACTCCCCCTGTAGATGGTTGTTAGGGAAAGCTGTCTAGGTCAGGCTATACACCTCCCTCCAACAGTTCAGCCTGGCTTAACACCTGATTTAAGATTTACTGTCATTCCTGTTTTAAAACGCCTGTATAACTGAAGACGACGGCAGATAGGCAGTGCTTTTAAGGCTTAGCAGTAAATACTAAGAGGATTAGATGCTAGCTATTTTACTTAAAAAATAAGAAAGCCTGAGTAATGCTTTTGACACATAAAAACACTTATCACTCACTACTGTCAATTTACAGATAAAATGCATCCACTGAACTTTCATCTGGGTCTGTGGAACTAAAGCACCAGACTCTCAAGGCCTCTCCAGGCTTTTTGGGCAGCATCCTGAAGACCCATAACTTTTTAAATAATTGTGTTTTCGGTGGAAGTTTATGCAACAAATTAGGTTCCCATTCACCAATTTCTACCAAATTGTTCAGTGACATTGGTTACATGCCTCACAATGTGTCAACGTTCTCATTTTTCCATTCTAGTTCCATTTCCAGTAATCTAGTTTCCCTGCCTCCTTACCTTTACAACTTTGCTTTAAAGTAACTGCTCACCATTTGGTCTCACAGATTTTTTAGAAATGTCTAACTTTTTAATACCCTGATTATGGGACAGAGATGTTCTGAGGAAGAGAATCCCCCTCCCCCCCCCTTTTTTCTGTTCTCTTTGGTCTCTCTCCCCATCATCCTTCTTGGTAAGCATATTTTTAAAAATTTAAATTAAACTTATTTTTGTGAGATCATGATGAGAGCAGACGGGAAGCTCACGTTCTACATGTCCACATCATGCCATGATGATCCCATCAGTAGTATAAAGTAAGCTTCACCTCCCCTGGATAGTAACATGTCTTAAAACTAAAGCTGATAAAGCTCAAAAGGACATTAGGTGTCCATTAGCACCTTATACTATATAACTTTATTGCTCAGGAAAGCAAACCCAAACCCGCCTTCCTGAGCAGGAAGCAGCAGTTTGGTCACCAGAAGCAGGCAGAGAAGGGCTGCAGGCAGCCCACAGCAGAGGGCGCTACCGGTCTCCAAACTGGAGAGGGAAATGGGTGGGGAGCAGGAGAGAACCAAGAGGACTTAGAAAGGCCAAGAAGCTGGTATCACTGGTTCTTACATTTCTGGCTAAGTTCCTCAAATAAGTGAATAGGTTCTGGTTAATAAAGTTCACAGTTGTACGAAAGATATCACGGAGCAAGGAAGGCTTGTGATTGGCCACCTTTTTGGCCAACAGCAGGATCAACATCAGCTTTTTCTTTTCTAACTCCATGTCCATGAGACAGGTCTGCATCGCCTGTTCCAGGGCAGTCCCCAGGCACTCGCTTCTTTCCTGGACAGGAGTGAAAAGAGAAGCATCACACAGAACAGCTTACTAAAATTCTTAAAGGAAAAACTGTCCCAGACAGCCCCTCAATGATGAGTATAAAGACATGCTTTCATTTCAGTAGGAAGTATTTATCAAACCGCTAAGGAGGTTGGGCAGAGAGAGTGGGAAATAGTTTTAAGAGCAATGGAAAGAGAAGCCTGAGCTCACTCCCTGGAATGGGATGTTCATTAACCAAATACATGCTCATCGAGCACAGTATGCTCACTATAGACAATAATGGAATACAAAAAGCCAAGTCAGTCCCTGACCCTATGTCTTAGGCCCATCTTACTGGTGCAGATCTAGCTAAGGGAAGGGGATGAAGGCGCTACAAGTTGCATTCCCACCTACACAGGAGAGGCAGACCATAGACCATTAGACTTAAAATGCCTCAAGCTCATTGACTCACCAGCAAAATTAAGTAATGTAAATTAACATTGTGGGAGTGGTCCCAAGGCAGAGTAGTAGGAGATGCTTATACTATGATAGCTGCTGTAGAACATCAGATGGAGAGACATCACTAGAATGGAGACAAGCCTTTTTGGAGGACAGAAGGCTTGACCTGGCTGATCCCTGAAGGATGAATAAATTTACAGATAGTGAGGGCTGTCTGCATTTGCAGCAGGTAAAGGTCAAAACCTTTCTCTCCTCTGAGCTCCTGTAGCTACAGGCATTTATTTGACAGCCTTGGGGTATTCATTTCTTTCTCCCACTAAGTTTCTTCAGGAAGGACAGAGTGCCTTGGACCTAACCTTGAATCCACCAAGGTGCCAAGGAAATGTAGAAGCTCAGTAATTATTTGAATATTGATTGGCTATGACCACAAAACCAAGAGTAGCTGGCTTTTCTTGTCACACCTGGGTAAGTTCTCTATTGGCGTCTTTATACAACTGCCTAGAACTGAAGAAAGAATAAAAGTTACTTCTAGAAGAGCCATATACATTTTGCTGACAATATTTTTGGAGGCCTTTTATCCCTAACTGTTGGGTCTGACTTAAGGTTCAAGACTGCTAAATGTCAACTAACCATCTTCTGAGAGTCCCTTCTGACTCTATTTCCAATTCTTTTGTCGATGAGCATTAAGCCCCAGACCTGACGGTTGGGAACTGAGTCACTTCACTGGACATTGGTCTACCTACCTGATAGGGAACAAAGGACGGATCTTGTTGGTTCAATTGACGAGAAAATGCTCACACTTCCCCACTGACCCAGAAAAGGCACCAGTGTAAGTCTGATTCCTTTACTTACTGCCTCTGACAGGTTCATGTTCATAAACTGCATTGCCAGGTTTTGCACCAGACTTGGGTGGACCTTGCTTTCTATCTCGTCTCCTATTTGGGCGAGATGCTCAGCGATGATCTGGATGACTTCCTCTTGACTTCCAGAATCTGAATGTTCAGGCAAGGGCAGAAGTGACAATCAGATTCAGACAATGGCCCTGTTCAACACTCTTACCCTACTCCTCCCCACCCCTAAAAAGGAAAGCCTTCTGCTCTGGAACAAACCTTGCTCCTGCTTCCATAGCACACCATGATGGGCCCAGCCGAGCATCTGCTCCACTCCACTAGGGCCGCAGTGTGAGGACATAGGAGCAGCAGTTCAGGGGGCAGTGGATGGGCCCCTGAGTGAGTAGAATACTGGCTCGAGCAGTGGGTCTCTGCCTGAATACAGAGTCAACATCTGCCCACAGGAAGGATCAGTGATGCTGGGGGCATCTGAGGCATAAACCTGGCTTCAGCCTTTATGGCTGCCGGTTCTATATCCCAACAGCTAATAGATGTCAGCCTTAGATGCTGTGAGGACAGAGACTCTGCAGTCTGACCATGTTTGGGTCCCACCCCCGCCCTTTCCTAGCCACGGGACCTTGAACTTTCCTACCTTCCCCACAGGGCGGCTGTGGAGACCATTCCTCTCTCCAACACCACCTCATGCAGTAAAACACCAAATCTTCCCTATGACCCAAAAGGCTCTGCTCTATATAATCTGCCCCCCACCTCTCTAACTGGAACTCTCCCTATTTGCCCCCTTAACTATTCTTCTTAGCTACACTGGCCTCCCCCACCTGCTGTTCCTTCCCCCAGAGAGCAGGGCTCATCCTCTCACTCCCTTCACATCAGCTCAGCCACTCTCTGGGAAGGCTTTTCTGACCTTATTCAGTCCGATATTAATAAACACCACTCCTTGTCCCCTTGTCGCCCCCTCTGTCTTCCTTGGCACTTACTACTACATATTTTACCTTATGCTATTTGTCATAATTAAGTTTCATAAGGGCCACAGTTTTTTAATCTGTTTTGTTCACTGCCAAATACCCAGCACCTGAAACAATGCGTGGCACACAGCAGGTGCTCAATAAACAAATGCACAAACCAACAAATGAGTAAAGAAATGCACCTAACTGTCAAATCCTGTCTTACAGGGCAGATACACCTCTTTCCTACCCACTGCCACTACCACCGCTTCAGTGTGGGTCCTCCATCGCCTCTCATTTGGTTAATTACAATCATCCCCTAACCCCACTTCCTGCTCCCACTGCCCTCCAGGACCATTCTTCACTCCCCACAATATACTCCTCAGAGCCAGGACCTGGGTAGGGCAAGTGAGGCACTTCAGGTACAAGCTTTAAGGAGACTATTAGGAGGATCGAGTACAGCTGCATGACCCTGGGCGTGAGGCCTCCTTAAATGTGCCCCAGGTGTCTCACTGGCTTCCCTCTAGTTCTGACCATGACACTTGGACCAGTATAGATATTACATTACTTCTCTGCTCAAAACCTTTCATATGCCCACCTCTGCTTAAGTGGTAAGTCATGACCTAGCCTCAACTTGCCTTTGGCCTTATCTTCCACTGTTCCCTTCAAATGTTCTAACCAAACTCACTCATCAAAGATGTGGTGAAACCCACATGAAACTGCACTACTTATTAGTAATTAAACACGGTTAAGCCTGTGCATGCATACCTGCTTACTGGTTAATCCAGCCCTGGGTTAAATGAAAAACCCATAATCACTTTTGCAGTCTACAGGCAAGGACCAATGTAGAGAAGAGCAAGAGAACAGCACAGGGGACAGCCTCTGAGCCCACAGCCTGTGGCGGCAGTTACCCCTGCAGCCACTTCTGATAGCAAAGCCATTCCACCTCCACCCCTTCCTAAACCTTTCCAAGAGGGGGCTGCATGGTGCCAGATGCTCTTACTCCAGTGTGAGGCTGGCCAGAAGATACGCTGGCTGGATTCAGAGGCAGAGAAAGTCTTTGCACACCCTGGCTGGGAAGGAACTGCTGTCCCATCCCCATCCACCCCATTCCAGGCGGTGCTGGAAGCCAGCAAGGCTGGATCGGCTGCTTCTCTTCCAAGGCCACCAGAGGGCAGTGCAACCTTTATGCCAGGAGAGTTCAGGGCAAAGACCATGTTCTGCCAGCTGGGTTAGGGGGCCTGGGTCCTGTTGAGATCCCCAGAGTCACATTAGGATTTTAGGGCAATGGTTGATTCTAAATTGGGTGTGCATCAGAACACCTGGGGAGTCCCCTACCCTAGGGTATTTGGATTCAGGCAACTGAAGTAGCACCCTGGGCCTGGACATTTTGAAAAAATGTCTCACATAATTCCAATGTGCACGTTACTGAGAACCACTGTTCAAGGGCCAGATCGGAGAGTAGTCAGACCTCAACACGCTCCCCAGCCTTCAGCTCCAGACAGTCTCTCAGTGGAGGCAGCACTGGTGGCAAAGGGGAATGAAGGTAGAGGTTGGGAGCAGGTCCAGGGAAAGGGTAAAGAAAGTCTGGAAACACTGCAATGGGAGGCAGCCCCCACAGAGGGAGGACAACTGAGCCCAAGCTCAAGGCAAGAGGCCTGGGGCTTCAGGTCCTGGCTCTGCCACACCCATTAGCTATTTGTTTTAGGGCTAGTAATTTACCTTTCTTTGGGCCTCAGTCTCCTCATCTGGGAATGTGGTTCACAATACTTCACTGGCCTACCCATTGTATTTAAAAAAAAAAAAAAAAAACCCATCGCTGGTGATTCCGACTCATAGCAGCCCTATAGGACAGAGTAGAACTAGAACTGCCCCATAAGGTTTCCAAGGCTGCAAATCTTTATGGAAGCAGTCTGTCACATCTTTCTCCCGCGGAGCAGCTGGGTTCCAACGGCTGGCCTTTCAGTTAGCAGCCGAGCATTTAACAGCTGCTCCACCAGGACTCTTTAATTATCTTACAGATAATAAAAAGTAAATATATATGTATATATATTTAATAAATATATATGAAAATAAAAGTATAAGGCACTATACAGATGCAAAGATTGTTATAAAGAACCCAAGTGGATTTCAATTCATTGAAATTCCGCTAGGCCTGGTCAAAGTGGCCTGGCGCTATGCTAGCAGAATCACCTGTGGGGCTTTCACAAGACCAGTCAAATCAGAATCTCTGGAGGTGGGACTCAGGTATCAGTAGTTTTTAAAGCCCACCTCCCCTGTTCTTCCAATTATATAACTCATGTTTGAGAGCCCCTGAGTTATATTATCTAGATCAGTGGTTCCCAAACTTTGGCTGTATCAGAATCACCTGTTACTATTTAAACATTGGCCCAGACAGCAGAATCAGAACCAGTAGCACCTGGAGGGAGATTTTCACATGTCGGAAGGAAAAAAATTTCTAACAGTCATCCAAAAACAGTAGATGAGTTTAACACCACGAGAGGTAGCCAAGTACAGGCCAAATATGGTGGACTGAAAACTGCAAAGGTGGAGACCGAGCCCTAAAGGTCCCTTTCAGCCCTTAGGTTCCCTAAATGTTAACTGGTGACAACAAAGCCCAGATATGAGGCAAAGCAGGCTGGGCCGATGCCAACCTGCCTCAAGTCTTATCTCAGGTCTTCCCAAGCGGAGGTGGCTGCTCCGGTTGCCATCTGTCTGTAGCTCATCGTCACACTCCTCCTTGAGGTAAGCTGGCACGGGAAGCTCATCGCCCAACACCTCCAACTCTACACGGAAATTACAGTTGGAGCAGTTTTTGAAGAAGCTGAACACCAGTATGTTTGTGATGTGCTCATTCGGGAGGACTGAACCATTGCTGACCTAAGAAGAAAGCAGAGACGGAGACCTGTGGGAACCTGGTCCAGGGCCAGAGGCCCTTCTGGCTGCCCGAAGGGCTCCGGGGTACAGCCTGGCCTGAAATAGCCTCACTGGCCCACAGGTTCTGAATAGCCCTATGTGTATGAGAGCTCTGTAGGCGGTCTCATCTACATGGGCAGAGGCCAGGTTTACAGTGCCTGCTTTAAGCAATGCCACCTGCAGATTCCAAAGAGAAAGCTGCAGGAGGTGGCTCATCTACTCATCTGCGTGGCCTCCTGAGAACATCTGGTTGGAGTGGGCTTTCTATTGGCGCAAGAAGGCTGTTTTAGGGAGCCAAGCAAATAACATTTAGATGCCCATCCATGTATCTACATTCTTTTTACCAAGTCTCATGTACCTGTGACCAACTCAGGCCTACCTTTCGTGGCTACGCATCTAGAAGCTCTTTCATTTCCATAACCCCCTTTGTAGGGCCAGGATGGCACTGTGGAAACAGCAGGTTTTCAATAAATACTGGCTAGTGGTGACCCCTAGGTGGAATATAAAACACTTGCCTTCGGGCGGGTTTGGTTGACTTCAAGTGTGTATGCCTTTTAACCAAGCTCCCCAGAGAGCCACGAGGGTGACTCCTGGTCTAACCTGAAGGGGCTGGTGATCACTCAGGCCCTTCAGCTCCCCATCCCTGTGGGCAGCACTTGCAGAAGCAGCTCAGTTCAGCCTCTGGGCTTTGGGAATCAACAGGGACATTTCTGTGCCTTGACTGAGTTCAGGGCTGTATTCTCGGCACACAAAGGTGAGCACTTGTAGCATCTGCAGTCAGGTGTGCCCAGAGCAATCAGAGACCTGGCATGAAATGACCCGGTAGGCTAGGGGTACTGAGATCTGCCCAGATAAATGCAAAGCAGACATCCTGGGCTAACAGAGAAGGTCAGTAGAAGGTGAAGAGCCTGGTAAAAGTTATTTCTATCCTCCAAATCCTTAATAGTTTTCATTACAAAAGTCAGAAAACTAGAGGACAATTGTTAGAAGGCAAATTGTTTTAAATAAATAAAATGCTTAAAATAAGTTGCTACGTATTGCTATTTAGCCTTCATGCCTCCAAAATTACTTCTAAAAAGAGGAAAATTTTTATGTAAAAGCCCTTGCTCTATCAAATCCCTACAATTCCTATACGGTGAGGCCATGAGGTACAAGACAGCTTAGAAACGCACGAACATGCTTCACTTCTGCCTCAAGGAAATGTCCTGGTTAGGAGAGATTAAAGGAGGACTGGAGTAGTGTTGTAGGTTGAATTGTGTTCCCCCAAAAGATACATGGAAGTCCTAATCCCTGGTACCTGTAACTGTGACCATATTTGGAAATAGGGTCTTTGCAGATGGAATCAATTTAAGATGAGGTCATACTGGATTAGGGTGGGTCCTACCCAATGATTGGCATCTTTGTAAGAGAAAGGAGAGGGGATTTACACACAGAGACACACACAGGCAGAGATGAGAGTGATGCAGCTGCAAGCCAAGGAACCTAGGAGACTCACAAAACATCCTCCCTCAGAGCCCCCAGAAGGAACCAACCCTGCCGACACCTTTATTTCAGACTTCTGGCCTCCAGAATGTGAAAGAATAAATTTGTTTCAAGCCACCCATTTGTGGGATTTTGTTACAGCACCTCTAGGAAATGAATACAGACGATCTTTGCCTGAGGACTTCTTTTTGATCTTGTTAAGTACCTTGAAGTCTCAGGAGCAACCCCATGTGACAGGAGAACTGCCCCACAGGGTTTTCTAGGCTGTAATCTTTATGGAAGCAGATTGCCAGATTTTCCAGCATAAACCAACTTTCGGTTAGCAGCCAAGCACTGAACCATTTGTGCCACCAGGGCTAGGGGTTGGTAAACAGGTGTCTACAGACTGAATGCAGAGCAGCAGTTATCACCAGTTATGCCAGATCAGGCTATCAAATATAAGTTCAGCAATATTTGTCTTCCCACATACAAGAAAAAGAATACATTTGGCAGGGAGGGAAAGGAAAGATTTTCACGTCAGAGAAGGATGAGTCCCGAAGCCATGGCAGGTGGAGAGCAGTATGGACGAACCCGGTTTGGACGGGCATGTCCAGAACAGCTGCACTACCCAGGCAAAGGGAAGTGGGCACAAAGACTGATCACATTTACTTCCAAGAACAAACAGAGCTTGTAACATGCCAAGTATGGACGATGGCCTTTTTTTGATCTTCTAGTGATAAAAGTTGAAATGGGATGTTTCAGAAGATGTCAGATTGGCTAGGTTGTTGTTCATCCTTTTAGACCACAGTAAAGAAAAATGATCAAGATGTAGGAAACCCTACTGAACATATTACAAAATGATCTGAAGGAGGCAAAAAATAATCCTCATGCCATGAAATCAGTGCCAATGCAGAGAAAAAGGTGGAAAGCCACCCACTGTGTCCAAGAAATTGAAATAATCCTGCTGAAAACAGTAGTAAACAAACAAAACTAATCTCACAATTTTTTTTTCTTTTTCCAAGTATCAAGAACTCAAAGGAGAAAGTCAGAAAAATCTACAGCAGGATGAAAGTTCTGATTTTAAAAAAAAAAAAAGTCAAACCCCTACAAACATAAAACTGATCAATGCTTTCACTATGAACCCCAACTCTGTGGGACTCTGGGCAAGCTAACTCCGGAGTCTCCATTTTCCCACTTACAAGGAAATAAAAAGAAAAACCTGAGTAGTAATGATCTCCATCCTTCTTATACTGGAGGGCTGGAAGGAGGACAGACAAATGGGACAATGTGGGAGAAAGTACTTCCTACAAGTTAAAGCTCTACTCTAGTCTAAAGTGACTCTTTTAAGTCACAGACATCTCAAGCAGAGGGAAGAGGAGATAACAGTATCAGGCTGGGAGGGACAATAGGCAGGTGTAAATGGCACTAAACAGAAGAGTATTTTGGATACCAATAAAGAGGCCTTTATCAGGACAAGGGAGAGCCCCCCAACTCCCTTTTGTTCATGCAGCTGACACCTATCCTCTCTGTCCACTCTGACTTAGGCCCTCCAGCTACAAACATGAAAACCACCAGATTATCAGCCTTTGAAAAGGGTATTCAACAAGTACCCACTGAGAACCTTCTGCCTGCTCAGTAGACTCCTGTAACTGCCACCCACAGTGGCTGGTGAGAAGAGCTGCAGGTTAATGCGTAGAATGTGGAAACACCACACTGCTGGGCGGATTGAGGAGCTTGTGGAACTTGCCAAAGGAGAGCCGTGGAAAGTAGATAAACCAAAAGCTTATGATTGGCTGTGCTGTGATTTTCTCTTCCAAGACCATTCCAAGGTATTGAGGAGAAACAGTTTAGGTACCATCCTGTTAGAGGCAGGGGAATGGCTTATATGACCTCCGGGTAACATCTCCAACCCTAAACCAGTGGCTTTTAAATGGTCTTAAATTAGAAAGCCCCCACTCTCTCAGTTAGTGATCAGGTACTCTTGTGTAGGAGACAGGAAGGGACGGAGAGCAGTAAGGAAAGCAGACAGGGAAAGAAAGGGAAGACGGAGGAAAGGGAAGATGAGAAAGGATGTTTCTTTTACTGTGCTCTAAGAAGGAAGCTGCGAATCTGAGGCTCCACTTTGCAGAGCTGTGGAACACCAACAGGCATGCAAATGAAGAACAGCTGGCCCTCAGCCACCTTCCCTCCCCATCCCAAAGCGTTTCTCCAAAAGAATTTGAGAGTCTGACCTGAGGATCCATGATACTGTCAGCACTGGGAAGCTCCAAGTCACTTCTGGCTCACAGGGGACCCTCGTCAGGTCAACGGCCTGGAAGAGGATAGACACACATACATACACACAAGGGGTGGGCAGCTGTTTCCCTTGCAGAGATACCCCCCTCAGAAACAAATCACAGAAGCTGTTCTGGGTTTTGGCTGCAAGGTGCTTGAGCCAACCCAGCTGAAACCTCTGCCGCACATCCCAACCAGCGCTCACCTAGGGGTTTCTTCTTGGCGCAGACTGTGCGCAGACACCCAGGGGATAAACTTTGGATTTTCCTCATTCCAGAACCTTCCCAAGGCATTGTAGAGCTCCCCAGGGCCAGCCCTCCCCTCTCAGAATTCAACTCTTCTACTCCAAGCTCAATAAAACCTCACTGATCAGGCAAATAGCGGCAGTATGATTTATGAAGTATTTTAAAACAAATACATTAGTAAGTTTCCTACAATAATAAACTTAGCTAATAAAATATACCTAGACGTTTTCAGGGAACCTGTTTATTATTACCGTGACCGCTAATATAACCACTGTCACAACTACTCCTTGTTGTTAGGTGCCGTCAAGTTGGTTCATACTCACAGTGACCCTGTGTACAACAGAACAAAACCCTGCTCAGTCCTGCGCCATCCTCACAATTGTTGTTATGCTTAAGCCCACTGTTGCAGCCACTGTGTCGATCCACCTCATTGAGGGTCTTCTTCTCTTTCACTGACCCTCTACTTTATCAAGCATGGTGTCATTCTTCAGGGACTGGTCCCTCCTGATAACATGTCCAAAGTACTGGAGATGAAGTCTTGCCATCCTCGCTTCTAAGGAGCATTCTGGCTGTACTTCTTCCACGGCAGATTTGTTCGTTCTTCTGGCAGCCCATGGTATATTCAATATTCTTCGCCAACACCATAATTCAAAGGCATCAGTCATTCTTTGGTCTTCCTTATTCATTGTCCAGCTTTCACATGCATTATGTGGTGATTGAAAATACCATGGCTTGATCAGGCACACCTTAGTCCTTAAAGTGACATCTCTGCTTTTCAACACTTCAAAGAGGTCTTTTGTAGCAGATTTGCTCAATGCAGTACGTCATTTGATTTCTTGATTGCTGCTTCCATGGGCATTGATTGTGGATCCAAGTAAAATGAAATCCTGGACAACTTCAATATTGTCTCCGCTTCATGATGTTGCTTATTGGTCCAGTTGTGAGGATTTTTGTTTTCTTTATGTTTAGGTGTAATCCATACTGAAGGTTGTTACCAACCCACTCCTTTAACATGCAACCATTCTCGGAGCACATTACTATCTCATTTGTTCTACACAGCTATCCTGAGAAGTAGGCAGCGGAGTTATGCTGATCCTGACTTAATGGATGAGAAAATAATGTTCAGAGACTAATATTCTGAGGTCATGGAGTGGTAAGTGACAGCCAGGAGGGGGCCGGTCACTTTTCACTGCCAGGCCAGTCGTTCACATATGAATGTTATTGCTATGGTTGTTAGCTGCTGTTGGGTTGGCCCCTGAATCATGATGAGCCCACGCACAACAGAGCAAAACCCTGCCCAGTCCTGCATCATCCCCATGATCGGTTGCAGCTCAGGCCATTGTGATCCATAGGGTTTTCACTGGCAGGTTTTCAGAATGAGCTTGGCAGGCCTTTTTTCCTAGTCTGTCTTAGTCTGGAAGCTCCGCTGAAACATATTCAGCATCACAGCCACATGCAAGCCTCCAATGACAGATGGGTGGTGGCTGACCCTGGGTACATGGCCGGGAATCGAACCAGGTCTCTGGCGTGAGAGGTGAGAATTCCACCACTGCCCCATATACAAGTAGCTTTTGTAAAATGTTTATAAAGAAAGAAAAAGATTGATACACTTGACAATTACCTAAAAGATTAAAGCTACCATACGACAAATACACCAACTAAATAACCCACCATAAGCAATTGACCAGATACATTGGTGATTGGGTTAAAAAAAAACCTTACGCCTATACAATGGGATACGTATAACCATTAAAAAGAATGAGAAATCTACGTGTGTACCAGTATAGAAGGACATCCAAAACAGACTGAAGAAAAATTTCTGTAGAATAATCTAAATAGAACGATCCTGTTTTAAAATGTATTTGCCTGGGTATGTGTGTGTGTTCCCACAGTATTAGGTTGAACCAAACGAAACTCGTTTTGTAGGGCAAAATCAGTCACATACTAGTGATTTCATCCGATTCCTAAGTATACAGGCAATTAAAAACAAACAGAAGAATAGACAACCAACTTGTTTCCCAGAAGAAAGGGCAAGCGAGGTCCCCACCTACAGTGAAGGGACAAGCAAGGGCAAGCATCCTGTGTCCAGCCCACCAGGCAGCCCTATACATACCGAGCTTGGGACACGTGCTCCCACTCTTGGCACTGCCCATGTCTCTGTCTTAGGTGCTCACGCTGGCCTTGGCGATCCTGCACAGCTAGAGGCTGTACTCCAAACCTCCCACTGGGGAGTGTGGAAGGCTGAATATGGCTACGCTAGGGAGGAAAGGTGGCCAAAAGCAAATGACCCAGGGTGTGCGTGGACAGAGAAGAAAGTCACAAGGATTGGCTCACAGGCCATCTGTGGGCACCCCCCACCCCCAGGGCAAGAGGCAAGAGCTAGAGACAGGATCAGGACAAAGAACAAAACAGGGCCCACCCTCAGGAAGCAGGTCCATAGCAGCCAAACCATTTCCCCAGAGTTGCTACCAAGGTAACAGTACTGTTGGACCAGAACACTGGCCTCCTTCCTCTTTAGTCCAGTGGCCTTCCCCTCCACCACCATGTTCCTGCCAAGAAGTAACTTCAAAAAACCATGTAGGAGAAAATATTCACCCATGATCCCAGCACTTTCCTTCAGCTGATATCCTTCCAGAATTGTACATACACACCCCACATCTACATGCAGTTTCATATTCTTCTATTTTCACTTATATTGTGATCATTTTCCCACTTCAATAAACGTTCTTCAAAAATATTTTAATGCCTATATAATATTCTATTGCAGTGGTTCTCACCGAGGGGTAATTCTGTCTCCAGAGGACATCTGGCAGTGTCTAGACACATTTTTGGTTGCCACAACTGGGGGAGAGGTGCTACTGGTATCTAGTGGATGCTGCTAAACACCCTACAATGCACAGAACTGGCCCCCTCAACAGAGAATCATAAATGTCAATAATGTCGAGTTTGACTGTTCTATTGCCCCCAAATTGACATATGCCCCCAAATGCAATTAATCCCCTAGTGTCAGACATTTAAATAGTTTCAAATTTTTCACTATTAAAAAAAGCATTGTGATGAATCATCCTGGTGTGGCGTTTCCCAATTAAATCCAGAATCAAGTGAGGTAACATATGTGAAAGCAGAGCATGCCATCCTGCTATACTGGCCTCACGGTGGTGGTAGGCGAAGACAAGAGGGGCTAGCTCACCTGGGCTGTGCCCTCAAGTCACAAAGGCCCCAGGCTCACAGCCACAGCACCCACCCTGGGCACAAAGGTCCCTGGCTCCTGGCCAGCAGCAGTCTTTAGAAGGGGAAGAAGGGCATATTCCCAGGCCTGGCTGGCTCGGCTTTGGGGATCTGCAATTTACCCTTTCAGGGCAGAGCATAAACCCTTAGTAGGCCTGCCTCAGGTTTCCCTCAGGCTTATCCATTTGTTTCTTGAGGAGAATTTCAGTGAGTCAACTGTTAGCTGTGAGTGGAGCCCAGGAGGACAGGGATGAGGACACCCACCAGCATCCTCAAAGGTTAGCCATGGTTTCACCCCCACACCCCGATGCTAACAAAAGTAGCCCCACAAGGAGGAAAATGCAAGCTGCCAAGAGTTCATTCCCCTCCTTTCTTCTGAGACCCAAGTAGGAAAACGGTCAGGCAGGCAGGAAATGGGAAACAATCCACAATCTTACAAGGCTTTCCTGTTACCAGGCAAGTTTAAAGCCAGGACTTCACTGGCCATAAGGCAAGGCTGGGGCTGTTGGTCCCTTTGCGGGTTATCTCTTAGAGCCCCGCACTCTCTCGCCCTTTTAACAGTCAAAGACTCTGTGGTACAGGGATAACAACTCTTTTTACTAAGAACCACCACCATCCCAGCCAACTACCATCTATTATTAACAACCAAAGTCAGCAGGCACGGTGCCAGCTGGCTTCTCCTGCCCTCTCCAGAGCTTTGAACCAGTTCATTCCCAGTGATTCTACCCCCTGCTGAGAATTTGCATTTTCACCCCAGATATACTGAATCAGAATCTGTTTCAACCAGGTGGTTTTTATGAGACTGTCTCCAATCCTCACAGCTTCCTTAAGCAGAAGATATTTCTGAGGACGCAGGGAAAAAGGGAACCCCTCAGGACCAGTTCTTCATGAGTAAGATAATCAGACAATATATACCTCACTGATGCCTACTCAAATTCTAGCCACCCTTCTCTAGGCCCCAAGAGCCTCCCACATACCCTGGAAGCCAAATGTCCCTGAATTAACTGAAAACCTCAAAGTTCACAAAAGCCTCAGCTTAGCACCACCCTAAACCAAAACAAACGCATTGCCATTCAGTTGATTCCAATTCATCACAACCCTATAGGGCAGAATAGAACTGCCCCTTATGGTTTCCAAGGAGCGGCTGGTGGATTTGAACTGCAGACCTTTTGGTTAGCAGCTGAGCTCTTAATCACTGTGCCCCAGGGCTTCAGCACCACCCCACAGTAAGTTAAAGCAGAAGCGTGAGCCACACAGGGCAGGAGCAAGTGGACACAGTGCTCCTAGAAGGAAAAAGATCTTTATGAGGACAAAGCCTCAATAGCACAGGCCTCTCCCTGGGCAACACGTATTCCCTGAGTCCCTTCACCACACCATGCACTCATCCTACCTCAAGGGCACCCAAACATTGCACCGGAAGGACACACTGGACCAGAAGCTGAGAGAATCCAACTCCTGTCCCCCTGGCCCAGCACTTAACTAGCTGTGTGACTTTGAGTGTAGCACTCACCAACTGACAAACATTTTGAGCTTGTTCAATGTGCGTGGAGCTGGGGAACAATGG